AAAACATAAAAAAAACTCGAAAAATAAGCTAGCTTATCAGTTAATTGTGGTGCGCCAAACACAGTCTTAGACTAGCTTTTTAGGAGTTTTTTTTTTTTTTTTTTTTTTTTTTTTTTTTTTGTTTGTTTTTGTTTTTTTTTGTTTTAAATTTTACAAATATACACCTTAATTATTATAGAAACACATACTCTTAAATGTCTTTTTATGTAATTTTATATATTTCAGCTAGATTTAGCAAACATCATTTTTTATTAGCTAGTTTTTTAACCATCAGCTAGCTTTCTATTTAACATCTAGCTTTTTTGCTACCAGCTAGTACACCAAACATAACCTAAAATCTACCATAGACACCCTGTAAAACTCAAAACTCAATGTTAGATGCTAGGTCAGAATTTATCTCAAAAAAGTAATTATAAACTAATTTATTATTTATTGATCAATCAAGCACACTTAAAATAAACACTAATCCAAAAAAATAATAATGTGAATTAGTTAATAATCTTTACTTTAGTAAAAAATATAATCAATAGAATTTGAACATGAAAGTCAAACATTTTTTAGTCAAAACAAATACTCGTATGTAATTTTGGTTGAACGTGGAAAACGAGAGGAGAATGAAAGAAAGAAGAACGCGGTGCTAATAAAATTGTAATCACAAGACTGACCAAACCACAAAACCTAACCAATAAATAATCGAGTCAATTCATTCATCCATTTGTAGATTCTCAGCATTAACATTTCTAAAAGAACCCATCAAAAATTTCTGCTTTTCTTATCTTCAAAGTTTTTAATCTCATCAGATTCATCCGCCGTGCTGGCAGCCGGTGGGTGGTGGCCGGAAAATTTTTGTCCGACTTTCTGCACCACACAGAAGCGAATCAGAGTGCCGGGCCCTACGGAAATCAGCTACGATTCTTTATCTATCGCTTACACTTCTTATCTTTACTCTCATCCTCTAATCCATACCTTTTGTCGTCTTATTCACCCCAAAATTTATACTTTATTCCTTCTACACCTTCTTATCTTCCTCTTTGTGAGACTCCTTTCACCGCTTTAGTCCATCGAACGTTTCTAAATCTTCAATTTGTAACTCGATTGGACTAGGGTTTTGGGTATTTTTTTTGGGGTTTTGGGTAGGGGAGGTTGAGGGTATGGATTTGGTTGGGGCTATGTTGAAGATCTTACAAGGACCTAATCTATGGAATGTGTTGCCGGATCTTATGATGTTCATGTTGCCTCTTTGGACGGCGGTTCTTTTTGGGGTTTTGGTTGGGTGGGTTTGGCGACCCAGATGGGCTAATTCCGCCATTAATAACTTATCCACCACTTGTCTTCCCCCAAAGAATTACTCTTCCATCGACATCGTTTCTTCAATTCCGAGCTTCAATTCGTTAAAATCTCAACTCCCCAGTTGTCTTTTCCCGTTCTCCGATGGGTCGCCGGAGGTTTCCTCGTCCGAACCGGCTTCAATTTCATTCTCCGATACCAGGTTAATCTCAGTTCCCTTTTCCTGATAACTTTTCATCAACTATAATCTGTGTAATCCAAAAAAAGATGGAATTCGTGTTCTAATTTCATATATATGTTTTCAGTTCATCGAAATTGGATACAGAAAGAAAGAATTTCGTTGGAGAAGGTGATTTGGAGCATTTATCCAAACTTGTCGAAGAGAAAGATGAAGGTCCTTCTTGGATTGGTATGATGGAAAAATCGACCTCAAATATGTCCTATCAAGCTTGGAAGAGAGAGCCTGAGGTAATTCCAATTTCCAATTCAATAACTATGAAAAATCTATCGAACACTTTCATTTTGTGTTCTTATTAAAGTTCTATCCAATTATAGTATTGGATAACATTTATGAAGTATCAAGTATGATACTTTCATAAATAAATCAATAAAAGTACATTGCAATTTCTTGAATTGTCATACAACATTGAGAGTTTTACTTTACAAATTACAATATGTCTATTTATATCGAGTTAGTGACTAAAACTATTATTTTCTTTATAGATTGGACCTCCACAATATCGTTCAAGAAGTGTGTATGAAGATACTACTCCTGAATTAATGAGGGATTTCTTTTGGGATGATGAATTCCGATTAAAGTGGGATGACATGTTAATTGAAGCCGAAACATTGGAAGAGTGTCAAGAAAATGGAACAATGGTGGTTAAATGGGTTCGCAAGGTATAAATTAAATATAAATTTGATTAATATAAGAAATTCTATATTGTGGATTGTTTTATAAACTTACATGCTTTAATTGTTTTTGTAGTTCCCCTTCTTTTGTAGCGATAGAGAATACATAATTGGGCGTCGAATTTGGGATTCAGATAAAACGTATTATTGTGTTACAAAGGTAACATATCTAAAGATTATATATTTGTCACTTATTTATTATTAATACTAGCATAGGAAGAAAATGAAAATAAGGCGCTATAATAAACGAATACATGAAAATACGTTACTATTTCTTGCATTTAACAAATTTCATAAATACAATTTTATATAATTACTTAGAATTCAATGAAACGTATTTCAGGGCGTACAATACCCCTCCGTGCCTCGCCGTACTAAACCAAGACGCGTTGACTTGTACTATTCAAGTTGGATGATTCGTGCAGGTAATAAAACCACCAAATTTACTAAATTACCCCTAGGGTATAGCCTAGTTTGTTCCGAGGTGGTATACTTTTAGAAATGGTCAAGGGTTAAGGTTAAAGTCCGAGCAGACACATAATTCCAATGTGGATTTGGCTCCTTCTGAGTCGCCTAACTAGGACAGGACAGTGTGGTCCCCACACTGTCCTATCCCAAAAGTTTGGTAAATTGTCCGAGTCTCAACAACAACACTAAAAGATTTTCAATTCCAACGTGGATTGAACTCGCTTTGGGCCGTGCGACTTATGTGAGGCTGGTGTGGGCCAGCTCAGGGGTTGCTGACAGAATAACCTTTTTGCAGAAACTTGTATTAACATAAATTTTTTTTTGTGAGCGCAGTTGAATCAAGAAAAGGCGATGGAGAAATGAGTGCATGTGAAGTACTGCTTTTTCATCACGAAGACATGGGAATCCCATGGGAAATTGCAAAACTTGGTGTACGTCAAGGAATGTGGGGAGCAGTAAAAAAGATTGACCGAGGTTTACGGTGGTATCAAAAACACATGTCATCGGGGGCCCCACTTTCTCATTGTGGATACATGGCCCACATCAATTCAAAAGTTAGCCAAGCCCATTTAAGATACTTGAACAACAACACAACAAACGATTCAACACAAGAAATCGAAAGATGTGAAGAATTAGTGAATGATGAGAAGCCATCGGGGAAGAATCTTGGAAAGATTTTGGTGGTAGGAGGTGCTATTGCACTTGCATGTACTGTTGATAGGGGATTGTTGACAAAAGCAGTTATATTTGGAGTTGCAAGAAGATTTGCTAAAATGGGAAGAAGGTTGTGATGATTTTTTTTTAAAGCAAAGGGTATATGAAAAGATTCTTGTGGGTGTTGCTAATTGCTTTTTAGTATGGTGGTTTTCCAAGCATTGATAATTGGTTATTGCATGGAGGGGTGAGGGGTTGGGGTCTTGTTCTTACTTTGAATACAATTGTAATTTGTTTTTTTTTATGGTCATCTTTTGTTAGATTTGATGTTGCAGCTTATGATGATGATGAGAGAGTATGATGGTGTACATGTATTTATTTTGAAATATCGTTCTCTTGCTGCTGGAATAATAGGGAAATTCTGCTTTCTTGAGTTGGTTGTTTGATAGTTTGTGGTGATTTTAATGTCTCATGGAGCATAGTGGAAACGAGGATCATAGACAATGATCTTATATGAGTAAGGTGCAGTGTGTGAAAACATGTTTTTCTTAAAACAGATTCAGTCTTTTTCTACTTTATGTGTACTTGGTGCCTATATTTACATAGCAACAAAGTTAACCGTCGCCATTATGATGCATAATTGTCTTTAAATATACAAACTGTAATGATCTTTAATCACAAAAAATGTAACAGAAAAATATGTTTAAAACTTGTGTTAGTGAACAAAAACCCTATTAATATCTTTCCGTTTTGACCTTGTACAAGACAATATTTTTGTTTCAAAATGGGTAAAAACTCATTTTCTAATGATCCCCACATGAATGGAAATTTGATCAATAAAATTCAAGCTATTGGTATCAAGTGAAACAGGTGAACCTTATATAGGATACATGTGTTACCATTTGAACCTTGATAGATACTTATCTTACTAGTAGAATAGTAGACTTGATTTCCTTGAATTATTTTGCCGTTTGTATAAACAATCAATATACAAAATTGCCCTCTAATTCATCATTTAAAACATGTTATGGCATCGTTGTGACTTCTAAAGCTTGAGACTCTACTTTGTCTCCACACCAGGCCTATCATTTATTCATTGAAAAAGTAGGGTTTCAAACATGAAGTCTATGACATTAGACCAACAAACGTGTTGTGTTTTATTGGATTCATGACGTGTTGAAATAATAAACGGGTTGACAAAGCTTGACCCTAACCCAACACGCGTAATTATCATGTCGTGATATGTCAACCCATTTATTTTCGTGTTGAGTATCTATTGGGTTTTGAGATAAGTTTAGACCTTGAAATTTGTGCTAACATGTGAGGTTGAAACACTAAACATGTTGAAAGAAATATGAGTTGGATAAAATGAAAAGAAAAATAAAAATTAAATAAAGAATTGGGAAAAGTAGTAGTTATGAGGTATAAAGACTAAATTCATAGTAAGTTTAAAGGAAAAAATGGAACGAGTGAGAGTTGGGGAGGCGGAGGGGCGGAATCATGTGAAGGATGGAGTGGTTAAGGGGATTGTGTAGTTTGACGTACTAGTTGAAAAACTAACTATTAGCTAAGAAGCTAGCTGATAGTTGAAAATCTAGCTGTAACATAAATAACTAACTGGTAAAACATGACGTTTGGTAAAATTACCGAAAAACTAGCTAAAAGATATAAAATGACAAAAAAACATTTAAAAATAATACATTTTCTATAACTAATTAAGAGATATATTTAAATTTTTTTAAAAAGCTCTTGAAAAGCTAATCTAAATAGCTTTTTAAAAAACTAGCTTATAATCTAAGCTTATAAACTATTTTTTAGCCTGCCAAACACACTAACTTAAAAAAACTCGAAAAATAAACTAACATATCATTCTGTAGCGGTTCAAACATAACCTAATCGTATCGACATTACAAAATGACTCAATCCAAAGTTTTTCTTCTACATATGATTCTGGCTTTAAGTCTTTCTAATTTATAAAATGAATTAAAAAGTTTGCATATAAATAAACGATCATTTTCAAGTCATAAACCTTATTTGTTTAGTTTTTGTTGTCATGTCATATCAATCCATTTTAATTAACCTCGATGCAATATCTTACCTACACCCTAGTGTCCTATTAACATTTCGTATAGTTTTTGGCTTTGCCACCTCTATATGACATGTTGAAAATATTTTAAAAAATATGTAGTTAGATGATACGAAGAGGCGTGAGAAAGCTACTCTCTTTGACAAAGAGTGCCGGCCAGTTGCCCGGCAACTCGATTATCAAATTTAGTGTTTGGTCGGTAAGCCGTTTGAACTTTTGGTCTACTCGATGAGTCATACTCATCTTCTTCTAAAAGTGGAAACTACAATGATTCAACCTTTTTTCTTCTATATAAACCTTTCCTTCAAATTCAAAATCCATACAACGTCTTCCTATCTTTGAAAACATAAACAAATCGAGTCAATAACTTGATCATATTCATCATCAAACATGAATTCCATCTTCAGTTCCTTCGATGCTTTATCTGCCGAATTCATGTGCCAATCTTTTTCTTTCTTTAACATAAAGAATCCTGCTTCCACCATTCAAGATGATCAAAAGAAGGTAACGCATGAAACCAACAAGAACACAAATTGTCACCGGAGCAAGAGGGAATATTCCGGTGGTCGGTGGGCGCCGGAGTTGGATGGGCTTCACTGCTTCGAGTCTCTAGTGTTTCATTAAGATTCGATCCTTTTTTCTTGAGGATCTAAATAAGTTTTGATTTATTTTTTCTGGGTTTTTGAGAAAGATTATTGATTAGTTCATATATACATGTTAAATAATTGTATCATATTTAATTACTGATTACTCTTTGATTATGAATAAAAATTTGTTTGTTCGAGTAGACCTACGATTGTTTGATGTCCATGTATTTAAAAACATTATCTCCGACTTTCATCAAATGATTAACACGCTTTTGAATTGAGTATATCTTAATTAAATATGTATATTCATACCATCATGTTGATTCTTATCACAATAAAGGTCGTTTCATTTGCATGATTTACAAGACTTAAGTTCTTGTAACATCTTCAATGGCCATAATTACAACGTTCCTAAAGAACAAGAAGAAGATGGAGGAAGAAATCTGAAGTTTAATCGATTAGTTGCATTCCATTCCCATATATACTTTCATCAAACAAACGCATTCTTATAGACATCATTTAGTAATCGATACAAATGATCCAAATTAATCTTCGACAAGTATATTAATCAATAATAATCTTTCTTAAAACACCAGAAATATAATATCAAAATTAACTCCGTTAGATATCCTAAAGAAAAAATATCAAATCTTAATGAAAAACGAGAGACTCGAAGCAGTGAAGCCCATCCAACTCCGGCGCCCAGCGAGCACCGGAAACACTCTTGCTCCGGTGACAGTCGACGTCGGCGTTCTTGGTGGTATTATGCGTCACCTTCTTTTGATCATCTTGAATGGTAGAAACAGGATTCTTGGTGTTAAAGAAACGCAAAGATTGGCACATGAATCCTGCAGATAAAGCGTCGAAGGAACTGAAAATGGAATTCATGTTTGATGTATATGAAGCTATTGATTCAAGTTGTTTATGTTTGTAGAGATCTATGGGAGACGATGAATGATGTTTGAATTGGTGGGAAGGTTTATAAAGGAGAAAAAAAATGAGTTGTAGTTTCCTTGGATATTCTTTCGTTTTCAACGCGTTGAATTATTAAAGTCTAAAGATGAAGACGCCGTCTTTGAATTATTAAAGAGAGTACTTGCCATTGGCGTGTGTCAAGGTCGTTCACTCTTTCCTAATTTCTATTTAACATTTTTTGATTTATACAAAATAAGCCTTTTCAATTTATCATTTTGTATAACTATTTTTTTTTTTTTTACTTTATGCAAATTTGAAAATATTAGGAAGTAATGTTAATTTGTTATTGAAAAAATTGTTAGCTATATGTTATTAGCATGTTTGTTTACAGTGTTTTTGTCTTTAGCCCATATGGGTTTGATTCTTTAGCTAATTATTTATTATTTTCTTCTTGTTTGTAGCTCTAAGACTTTCTAACGAAGAATTCACAGTTTCTCTTTTTCAATATGAATATTGTTCTATTATCATTGTATGAGAGACTGAAGGTTTGAAATGTTGATTGAATTAAGGTTTTGTAGCAGTGCGGATCGATTTGTTGTTGTTGTTCGTCTGCTATTTTTGTTTGTTTGTTGTTTGATTTCTTCTTTTGCTACATATAGAATTCTCTTACGTTATAATATTGCTACATATAGAATTCCCTTATGTTGCTACATATATAATTCATTTATGTTGAATCTTTTTAACATAACATTCATATATGTCATTTGATTAAATTTGATTAAAACTTCTCGATCTAAGATTTTAGATTTAAATGAAGTATAAATTTCTCCCCCTTAATTATAGCAAAACAACTTTTCAATCTCTGCAACTTTGCAAATTGAAACTTTTGTTTTCTATAACTACTATTGCTAACTTGCAATACTTAACATAAAAATCATGCTCCCACTAATATGATAATTATATTCTTACCAACATAACACTTATGCTCCCACTAGCTTTAACATGTACTCAGAAAACAACTGAACTTTTAGAAATCAATACTTATTGACTTTCTTATAAAAGTTCATAATTCTGATATATGATGCTTCGATAAGACTTTATCTAACCTCATACACCTTTTATTAGAAAGCTTGTATGTGTGTCTAAACTATTTCAAACCATATATCAATAAGTCCCAAATGTTCAGACTAATTTCCAAATCTCACAATTCGAACTAAAAAGAGGGATGTCGTAATCATAATCGAATTTGAGAATGCAAATATCACAACTGTTATCTCCTTAAATCTTCTTAATGAAATCGTTTCCTCATAATCATTTCCATGAAGTGGAGAGAAACCTTACCACTTAGATTTTATGGTGTATGCATTCCTATCCATGTGAATTTGTCATAACCATTATCACAAGACAAGGTTTGTGACAAATCCAAACTCATATGGACTGAACTTGTTCAATCTTTATTTCTTGCCATCTGGTAGCACAAGGGCTACCATGTCTTCCAAGTAGCTGAGCAACTCACCCATTCGAATCAATGAAATTTCATTGATTAAGGTGCTTTGCCTTTATGCATTCAAATGGGAACTCATAGAACTCACATGCATAGTCAACTCAACTGGAATGACACAGAAACACGAATATGTCAACACGACAGGTTATAAACCTCAAGTTTTGTGCTAGTGATAGATAATAGGTTCATTCTTGATTAGTTCCTAAAGCTATTCAAGACCATTAAGACTCCCACTGACCTCTTGAGATATAAGATTCTCTTGTCAAGCAATATTCCTTGACAAAAAAATATTCCAGAGTTAGTGCCGATTCTTATCAAGACAAACACTTCACACAATTAGTCTTAGTTGGTCTTTGTACTATCCAAGACATCACAACTTACCAATTTCAAATGTGCAAGAGTAAGAAATGTTTCTACTCCACATTTGATAAGTGTGTTATAAACCTTCTTAATATGTGTCACTCAAGTCACAATCTTGGAGTTCAACTCTATGACTCGATTTTGGAATGAAGTATGATCCAACTTTTGATTTATCCATTTCAACAATTTCTGATACCTCTTCTTAGCCATACTAGTGCACTAAGGTGTCCTTAGAGGATCAATTGTGATACGGTTTCATAATCACTAAGTTAATCATAAAACACGATACTTAAGTAATCTCCCTTCTTTTTAGATTGGAGAAACTTTTATCTTTCTGCCCAATTGATTCTTCTTATTCGTTCTGCTTTACATTGAAACCTTTTCATCGATTCAAAATTTCACTTAATCTTGTAAGCATAACCATATTTACTAAACTTTTAGCAAATCATGGCGAATATTCTTATCGTTCTTTGTGGTGGACTTGACCTAGTGCACAACAATGCGTACTAGATCCTTTAGTCCTTCACTTGACTCACATACTTATGTGAACAAGGGATTAGTCTTAATTTCCCAAATACGAAGGTTCTTATTCATCATATAATACAAGTTGCATGATTCCAAGTTTATTTCTAATTGAAACTTGGGTGATTAGAATAATTCCTTATTTGGTAAATTTTCGACACTACCACAAATAACATAACTAAGAATCACATCCATTTTCAATATTGTTAACAATAGAAACATACAAACATCAATTTTCACAAAAGTTATTGAAAGGATATATATAAATAAGACAAAAATCAAAGTTTATTTTATTTATAAAAACGCGGAAAAACTTGTCCTTATAACACAATTACAAATGAAAACTATGTTACTATATATTCCTAAGCAATCTATCATAACTCCTATGCAGCAACTCAAAAATCCGATCATCGAGCCATGCGATTGAAATCCATATCTTCACGATCAGACTAAGCATACATTTCCTTTAAGCTTCCTTTCTTTTCTTCGATCCTACAAAACATCAAAATGCAATCTTGTCATCATGTATTAAGAATCTATAAATAAGAACTTAATAGAGTTAGATAGTGGATTTTTACCTTAAGCAGAGTCATACATCTTGACTTCCCATCCTTGTGATCTTTCAGGTAAATATGGCAGCTTCGCATCCAATGCCCAATTTTCTTAGCAGTAGAAACAAATGGGCTCTTTTGGAACAACACATGGGATAATATTAGATTCAACCTTTCTCTTTACCATCCGGTCAAACGGTTTGACCATGGCCAATCCCTTTCCATTGGGAAGAGAAGACTTTTATGGACTTCTAATGTTGCCATCGTCAATATAGATGGAAGTTTTGGAGGTTGACATACTAGTCAAATTTGCTTTACCAGTGCGCCAAATCATTGTTGATTCAGTAGCAATAAGCAAATAGGTATGATCAATGAGGGTCACATCACGCTCCATCATATAGTAATCTTTAATGAACTCACTATATGATTCGGGAAGTGATTGAAGAACCAAGTCAACATCTAGCTTCCTTGAGACATCGACACCCAACATTCCCAACCTGTCAATATGTAACTTCATCTCCAAGACGTGATATAGACTTTCCATCTTCATTTTTGCTTGCCAATAGGGCTTGAGTGACCTTGAACTTTTCAAGTCTTTGAACACGTAGGCCAGGAAGAACCATTGGAGGAGTTGGAAGAAGTGAAGAATGATTTCTGTTTCCATGATCCAATCGTGGAAAATCATCTTCATGTGGAAATATTTTTCCAAAGGATTCGGGAAGACCATAGTTGTTAGAATTTGATATCTACAAAAGGGAGAAATTTAAGTTAGTCGATTTAAGTCCTTAATATAACACCCAAATGAAATATTACGGCCAAGACCTAACACAATATTCCACAATTCGGAAGAGGGATGTTGTAATCCAATTGCAAAATATTTGAAGGTAGGTAAATGACGATTTACCTATTGCCACAATGAAAAACGAAATTGAATATTAGGTTTTAGATGAATTGAAATTCCTAGATCTTTTGAGATTCATTGAAATTTTCAATGGCACGTTTAATCTCGGTTATGCGCTTCAAGTTTGTGATTGGGATACCGATGATCACAAACAAGATGTGAATAATCATACAAATTAGCTTGGTACTCTCGAAGACGTTTTTCACCTAATCAATGTGCCGGTTAACCACACACGCTCCATTAACGACCAACAAGTTGCAATGTGCAATTTCATGGATTAGCACCAACTTCACATTTTTCCTAAAGTAACTAAGATTTGAGAATTTTATAAAAGGTGTTTAGTTACTTCATACTTCATTATACTTATAATGGAAGGTTGTATCCTATCCTACCCGTTCGGCTAACAACCCTCCGTTAGTCAAGGGTGTCGTGGGTAAGAGTGGATACCCAATGACGTTCATTTTACATGCCGCTTCCTTGAATGCCTCTTATAGATCAACTTTGTGAATGAGAGCTACTAACGGTAAGACTGACATTTACTTATACATATATAATATATTAGACTTTTAATTTTATATAGTATAAGGGTGTTTTTTATACTTTTAAAATACTAAGTGGTTTAATCTATTAATAAATTATACTTTTAATTTGATTAAACTTAAATCATATTATTATGGATTTTTTAATTCTCTCCTTTAATTAAACACTTAATTAATTTAATAAAATCCATAAGGGTGTATTTTGAACTTTTCAAAATATTAGGGTTTTAAAATTTAACATTTCAAAATTATTACCTTTCAATTAAATTTTAAATTCCAAAACTTGAGGACAAATTTTAAAACTTTTCAAAATATTAGGGTTTAACTATATAAATTTCAAAAACTAAAACTTTTAATTTCAAATTTAAACTATAAAACCTAAAGGGTGTAATTTAAAACTTTTTCAAAATTACTAGGTTAAATATTTGAATCAAAATAATCCTATATTATCCATATTTAACCAAATCCACCAATTTTGATAAGGATATCCATACCAATCATAAAAAATCGAATTTATGCAAGAAAAACGAGTTTTGGTAATTATCCTAATAACAAACTGGCCAAAA